GAGGTTAAGGATATAGTTAATATTAAGCAAGTAGGCAAGGCCTTAAAGGTGTGAGCTAAGTAGATAGATTAGCTAGAGGACTTAACCTACTACTTTATCACAAACTTTAAGGACTCTAAGGACCTACTTAAAAACTATTTTAAAAGATATCTAATAAAAAGAGCGCCTAATTAATTAAATTAAAGCTAAGTATAAAAAAATCTAATAGAAATATTATATAATAAAATTAGCTATATATATATAATTAAATTTAGACTAACCTAATTAGAAAGTTACTAAGCTTAATAATAGAATTTAAGAGGAGTAGGCTTACTTTTTTGTGCTCTTAATTAAGAGTAATTAATTTTTTAAAGAAGAGGATAATATAATAAATAAAGTATCTTCTCTGCTATAGCGTAAGAAATACATAAGACTAGTCACGTACTTAGATAATAACATTATTAGTATATCTATAATAGTATGCAGAACTCTTGCTATTAAGCTACTATATCACTAATAAAGGCATCTGTTATAGCTGTTATACTTGTCGCCTACTAGCGCTAGAGCGCCAGGTATTAATTAGCACTAGATATTAGTAAGAGGCATGCTTATTATATAAAAGCGACCCTAAGGCCCTTATTATTAACTCTCTAGTCTTAGGATAGCACTTAACATAAGCTAAAGATCTTACATACTTATTGTCTACTTCTAACGTAATATATAACATTATCTTAAAACTGCTTTTTGACTAGAAACGGTTATTAAACTATTAACTGTAAGAGATCTATATCTCTAGACCTGTCGCTAGCTTATTCTAGGTCAGTATTAATATTCGAGATCAGACTTAAGTTTAAAGCAAGCCTCTCTGATACCCTCTGCGCCCCTAATAAGATTAAAAAAGATAAGGAGATTCGGACCTCTGAATTTAAATAAGTGAGATCCTTGTACTTAGTAAGTAAAAGAACAGGGCGCCCTATATATATATATATAACGACTCTGTAGTTAAGGCAGAGTATAAATATAAGGTTAACATACTCTAGAGCTGTCAGATAGCTGCCCTGTTTAAAGGGGCTACTAACCTTTTCCTTATCTTAATAATCGTGATACCCTCTCAGGTCCTGTCGCATTTCTCTCTTGACTTATATAACACTCTATTAGAGCTGAGCTACGCATTAATAATAGTGACATCTACTAGCGACTAGTTACTAATATATAAGAATGCAGAGGCAGCTGCCTAGTTTGATATAGCTATCTTTGACTTATCTAGTCTGGCTAGGACTGACAACCTCACCCCTAATGCCGAGACTGATTATTGAAACCTTATCCTATCCTTCGACCTCTCTAATCCCCTTGCCAGAGTAGCTTAACTAAGAGTGATCATACTAGCTAATCTTTAATCCGATATCAATGTCATTCTAGCTGAGCTGCAGTAACAAGGAGTGCAAGAACAAAGCCACCTTGACGCAGAAGGAAGCCAAGACGCAGGAGAGAACTCGGACGCTGTTAGATCTGACAAGGATAAAAGTAGCTACTATAAAGGACATTAAGAGCCTCAACGTTATAGCAGAAGTTGTTAGGGAGAACCAGGAGAGCCTGACCTTAACAGAGGCACATTAGCTGGTTACAACAGGATCAGGCAAAAATAATCTGCGCACATGCTTGCTTTACTAAATCTACTTGCAAACGACTATAGCACACCTAGGTTAGGCAAAAACACGTACTTTAGTAGCCAGGCTATATTAGTAGCCTTATTAGAGTAGCGATATAATATATTATGTTGCTAACTATTATAAATGCTGTTGATCCTACAAGCTGTGTAATAAGACATCTAGTCTTCTATATTCTTTACCTATCCCTCTTCGACTGTAAAATAACCTCTTAATAGATTTCTACATACCTAGTACTGTTAGTAATAGATGTAATATCATCTTTGTAGTGATAAATTAATTAAGCAAGAGACATATTTGCTTACTAACGAAGAAAACAGCTACTGTAACTACTATAGCTGACCTCTTCTATAAGTATATATAATGATTCAAAGGATGCCTAAAGACTATCACTAGTGACAAGGGACTATAGTTTATTAGCGCCTTTCTTAATAAGCTATCTTACTTTTGTTATATTAAGCTTAAGTTGTCGATATCAGCTTACCCTTAGACGGATAGCTAGACAGAAATCATCAACTAGATCATTGATACAAGGCTTTGACTATTTGTGAATCACTTCTAAGACGACTAGGCTTATCTTTTACCGGCACTAGATGCTATAGGGTTAGCTCTAGTTCACGAATCCACAGGACTGACACCTTATATAATTAAGTACAGCTAAGAACCCCGTCTGGATTTCGACTAAACACAGATAAGTAACAGCTCACGCTAGAATGCGCAAGAAAGAGCTACTCAAGAGCAGGCAAGGAAGCACTTACGTTATATTGATAAGGCAGTAAGCTGGGCTAGAATGAATATGACCTCAGCTTAAGCTCAGCATGCTCGTCAAGCCAACAAGAAACGTCGCTCGCCTGATTTCTAATCAGGAGACCTTGTATTCGTTATTAAGAAGCTGTGGAGAACAGATAGGCCCTCAGACAAGCTAGACTATCCTGTCGCAGGCCCCTTTCGTATCTTAGAGATGGTTAGCCACTCCTACAAGCTAGAGCTCCCGTCCTCCTATCGTATCTCGCTAGTGCTACACGCAGACCGGCTACGTAAGGCAGATAACAATCCTCTCCCTAGCCAGATCCCTACTCCACCTCCTGTAGTTGAAGTCGACAGAGACCTCGAGTAAGAAGTTGAGAGAATTCTGTCGTCAAGAATTAGCAGAGGTCAGCTGGAATACAAGATACAATGGCAAGGATGGGACCCTGACGATATATGGTACCCTGCTGGCAACCTGCGGAACGCTCCTCTGGCGTTACAAGCTTACCACAACGCGCACCCACAGGAAGCTGGTCCACCCAAGCGACTCCAGCACTGGCTTGACAGCGCTCTGCGAGATAAGTCACCTTCGGAGCACCCAGATGACAATAGAGCAGCCACTCAAGAAACCAGGAAAACAAGGCGACGCGCATCATAATGCCGTCGGCTTGATCTCGTCACCGGCTCAAACACCGCTGACTTGACCGTGTGTTTCCTTGCTATTCTGTGGATCTTCTTCTATTTATATCTCTCTCTTTAGATACTGGTAACTGTATGGCAAAAGGATATATTAGGCCAGCGTGCTATGCTGTTGTGTTATGCTTGTTTTGCTATGTGCTGCTGCTGTGTGCTGCTACTGTTTTGTTTTTCTTCTCATCAGACATGAGGGCATGTCGAGTCTTCTGGAGGGGGGGTGATGTCACGGCTGCCATGCTTGTCGCCTGCTAGCGCTAGGGCGCCGGGTATTGATTGGCACTAGACATTAGTAAGGGGCATGCTTGTTATATAGAAGCGACCCCAGGGCCCTCACCGTCGACTCTCCAGTCTTAGGATAGCACTCAACATGGGCTGAAGATCTCGCGCACTCGTCGCCTGCTTCCAACGTGACACGTGACAGCATCCGTACGACACGTGGCTCCCTGTACGAGTACCATGGAACAGGAGATTGATACGACCCTTTTAGGGAAGTACAATCTCCTCCAGAGGGAAGCTACCGCTTCTGGCCCTGCAGATGCTCCGTCGGATCCTCCGCGCAGGTTAACTAGTAGCACCCCTTGTGTTCGATGGAGGAGTATATAGAGTAGAGCGCTGGCCGCACTGTAGATAGACTCCTCAGCTTACGTTTTAGCAATCTATGGACTATTGACTTGTTCTAGTTTCGAGCCATTGCAAAGCTTAAATTTAATTCATCTTATAAGCTTATATAAATGTGGTAATCACTAGTACCTACTAGTCTTTAGTAAATAGATTCCTTAGGGTATATATGCCACTAAGCAGCACAAAGATACTAATAGTTCCTTAGAGAATAAATACTACTAAGGACACAAAGATACCAACATTTCTATATAAAGTAAATATTACTAAGCAGCACAAAGAGGATAAATCATTTAGCCTCAGGCTACGGTATTAATGTAGAGAAGTCTTTAGTTTTGCTCTGACCCACTTTTCGTAAATTAGTCATAAGCAAAAGGATCTCGAAGGAAGCGGCTAAGCTCCAGGCAGCAGGCTTAACTGAAACGCTAAGAGAATAAAGTGAGCAGTTGCAGCCGAGTCTGAGAGCCTAAAAGCAGGCCCCGTTGGACCAGAACCGGGCCTTACCACCTCCTCAGTCACCTGCTCAGCCTCTGCTCAGGGCTGCTCAGGCGCACTCAGTCTCGGCTCAGTCCCGGCTCAGGTTAAAGCAGCGCGGCTCAGGATGGAGGCCGTAACTGGAACTGGGGGGAAAAAATCTTATGTCCGACTATCGGGGTATCTTTCAATGTAAGCACTACTCTTATTCGGGTCGAGATACCTCAACATTTGAACGTTTATTTTCACTAAAAATCTAGTGATCTGGTAGCATGTTAAAAGTACGACCAGATAGGTCAAATAGTCTCTTGACTGCTATATTAAGCGAGGATAGTCTTGAGACATAGTTACATACGTTGGCCGCTTTTGTAGAAAAGGACGTGAAATGTGATGAAAAGGCAACCCTAAAGATGGTGGCTATACCTAAAAAATTCATGTAGGCAATGAGAAGAGAGATAGATGAAGGATTGGCTGAAAGACGGAGCGGCATTGGCTTCAACACCGGTCGGGTAAAGTAGAAAGCCCTTACACTCTGCGGCGTTGGTTTAAATGCGTCTTCAAAAAGGGTGCCGGAACCAGCGCTTCAAAGTCCCAATTTCTGCTACCTTTTCATAGGTACATAGGTATATTTGGTAAATGTTCCACAGCTTCCGTCTGTGACGGGTGGTGGTTCCCGGGTGAGTGCCAAGCCCAAATACACATTGGACTTCCACCCTTCACTTGCCCTCCATTTACCATCAAATCTTTTCTCCTCTCCACCTACAACCAAACAAACAATGCAAATCAAGGAGATACCCTAGCTTCGCCAAAGCAGTCGAGATGCCGTCTATTGTAAGCGTATCTCGACAGCGAAGATGGCCTGCTGGAACGGTCAATGGCTCTCAACCCCCACCATCGTCTCTCATTGCTACGCATCTTGCTCCCACCAACGGCTCTACCATACCACATTTTGACCCTAGTGATTTTGCTCTCCTTCTTCAAGAATCTCTCGGGTCAGACGACGATGGCCAGCCGAACCTAGGTACTGACGTGACGCTCAATCACAAGTTGATTTGTGTAATCATCAAAGCAGGAATAGATACGATTGATTTGGGAAGTAATGATCCTTTTCGCCAAGACAACGAGTGTCATGATCAAATCCAGAAATGCCTGGAGGTCTTTGATCTGGCGGTAGAAAGAACTCCTGAGGCACTTTTCCTATCATCAAAACCAGAAGATCTTGGCTCAGGAGCTGAGAATGTTCCTTTGTTCATCTGGTTTATTCCTAAAGTGCTATCCCTTTTAGTTCTGGACCACACAGAATCGAAGCTGATAGCGGGAATCGTTTGGCCACTTCTCGGCAAGATTCTCTCCGCAGCCAAGCAGTGTTCGAACAATTTTGACTTGTGTATTTCTGTTTCGAGCTATATGGAAGAACTAATTGGAGGTATCTTTCATCAGCGGCTCCAAATGGAAAGGTCTAACAGCATTACCCAGGACTCCTTTCGCACTTTGAGCGCGTTGACATCTCCGACGGGCGGTCTCAGAAATCTTCCTCTATGGCTACACTCGATCTAACCGAGCTCCTCACAAGTAGCTTAGCGACAACCAACCTACGTGATGGCAGATTTCCTGGTGCTTTATGTCTTGGAACCGTCCCGCAAGGCATTGATACCACATGCAGGCTTCTTAGGCTCCTGGTAAACTCGGTGTTCAGCAGATCAACAATGAGTGTAACAGCTATGAAGCGTTGCGTCTTCTCGATCATCGATCAATATCAGCGGCTCTGGAAAGTTCTCATGAGAGTCTTAGATGGCTATTCAGAGGCTGAAAATCAGTCATCGAAGCTGGTTGAGTACGTTTTCCAGGGCATGCAAGATCTTGTGATGTATTTGGTCCAGCCTCTGGGTCAACGCTCCGTAAGGCAGAGAGTCCATACTTGGTGGGCACAGTGTATAGACGATATGTTAAATACCTGTCAGGCAAGCTCTTTCAATATTCTGACCAACGAGATCATTTCCGTCCTTGACATTACTATCAAAATTTCCACCCAGATTCCAGGGTTTGCCTCTACAGTTTGCGAAACGGTACAATCTACAGTGAAGAGAATGGCTGACGAGGAGAACGTGGTCACTGTTGTCTACGCAAAGATTCAGGTAAGCCATATGAACTACGACAATACGATCTGACCACAATTCCTCAGGCCTCGCTTTCACAGCTTCGGAGCCTGGCAACGCAGGATGATCATGCGCACCTGACTGATGGGTTGGCAACTTCCCAGAACCAGCCCGAACACGACACCTTGTCCTGGCCTGATGAGGGCAGGCCTCGCAAGCGACTGCGGCTTTCGTCGGCCGAGCATCATTTGCCTCCAGTCAGCCAAGGACAACAGCTCTGCCGACAGTTGAACTCCTTGGTAGGTGGAAAAGATACCGCTGAGATTCATGAACTCGAAAAGACAGCCCCGTACGTTTCTCTACATGATGTTCACGTTTGCGTTTGCGTTTTGCGTTTTGCGTGACGCTGACCTGCACAGCGACAAGTTTCAATCGTTGACTGAAGTGGATCGGTCTCGTGTTTTCGAGCTCCTTGGTCAGATCGCTTGCGGGAATAGCCGTCTATCCCATTCTAATAGTAGTATACCTGTGTCATATCCAACTTGCTCGATTTGTGACCTTGATATCAAGACCAATATGGCACAACTGATCTCTGGAGATGAACCCGATACGCTCATTCAGATATTTGCGGCTCTTATTCCGCTCGTTCAGCGGTCAGCAAAGGTAAGGGTGGTAGCTATGTTAGCTCTGAGACGTCTTCTTGCCCACACATCTTCCCCAACAAATCTGGACATCTCAAATTGCGGAGTGGGAGAGTGGTGTCTGCAGTCACTTCGAAGTTCTTCACGAGAATTACGTATTGCTGCTGCTGTTACGCTTAAATTTTTTTTGGCGCCCATTTCACAGGTTGGGTATCAGCTGGTCCATAAAAATAGGGTGACGACCCTGGACTTCCTTCATTCTCTGTGGTTAAGAAATGTACCGTCTCTTCAGGAAACAACGATTCTTGCTCTGTCCGAGGTCGCTGCTGTTGGTGGAGACGAGGAGCTCAACATTGTTTTGGTGCGATTCGTTGAGTTTCTTGGCCATCCGAATCTTTACATCAGTGGCCTTGTCTTCGCGCAGCTACAAAAGCTTGCTCGAAATATGAAGCTGACTCCGGGGAGTCTGCTGAAACCATTCTGGCGAACGATAGCTGTTGTTGTTGTCAAAAGTATCCAGACTCGGCCGATTATCGCACAATCGTTATGTGACTTCTTAGGCGCGGACATGAATGTGGATGTTCTTCTCATGTTCATAGAGGAGTACGCATTACCATATCTTGTACTGACACGCAAGCAAGATCTCGTGCTACGGATTGCTTTAGCTCATGGTCAAACCATGTCACCTTTTGACTTGTGTACGAAGAGCAACAATTTTGCTGCTATACTGTCGTATCTTCTGGCACAGTCTGGCGTGGAAGCAGAAAATCTGGTCATGTCACTTCTTCTAGATACTTCACCAGAGTTTAGGCAGCGGGACATCTCAGCATGGGCAAAGCTAGAGCCTATACTCGTTGCCTGCGAACTTTTGAAGTCTATCGTCGATGCAGGTGGTGAGCGCAGCTCGAAGGCGTATCACGGTCTGCAGCTGCTAGCAAAGTTGGATTTGAGAAGAGGTACGATGTCGAGTGGGCTAAAAAAAGGTGAAGTTGTCGCCACGTTTCTTGAAAATCATGTCCTGGGCATCATTACCCAGTTCACGGCCACATTCAACGATTTGCAATCACGACAGCCAAATCTTGAAAAGCGCAGATGCTTGGCAGCGATTGGGGAGCTACTCAGGCTTGGGCAGCATCGAATGTCTAGTGCTTTACCGCAAATCTGCGCATGTTTGCGCTCTGCCATGGAGAACAGAGAACTTTGTGATAAAGCGTTCGAATCTTGGGCGTTGATGATGAATCACATTCCACAGAATGATATTGAACCTTTAATAGATCAGACACTTGCGGTCATCGTGCGCAACTGGAACGTCTTCCAAGACTCTACGCAGCATGCCGCTCATGATCTTATTGCAAAGATATGGGATGACCATAAAGACTCAGTACTGGCGATTCTGGACTCAATGCCGTCTCTGTCTTCGGTACCTTTGCTGTCCCGATTCGAGTCCGACATTAGCGATTCAAAGAAACAGATGAACCACCGTCGACAAATGATTGCCTTTTCGCGCCGTCTGCTCTCTGAAAACGTAGCGCTGGTTGAGCAAGCTCTGAAAGAATTGGTGGAAACACTCGGGAACGGCCAAGAATGGCTTCACCAATCATTGCTGCATGAGCAACCAGAACCTGTAGTTACTGAACTGATTCGCTCGGTTCTTGATTGCTGTGTCAGATTCAATTCTGATTCTGCTATTGCAGGGGCCTGCGGCAAGGCCTTAGGCAAGATAGGGTGCCTCGACCCGAATCGAATCGAGACTGTCAAGGACAGGCGTACCGTAATGGCAATATCGAATTTTGGTCGAGCAGACGAAACAGTGGACTTCATCATGTTCTTCCTTGAGGAAGTCCTAGTGAAAGCCTTTCTCTGTGCCCCAAACACCCGAGCTCAAGGCTTTCTTGCCTGGGCTATGCAAGAGCTTTTGAAAATCTGTGGACTAGAAGAAACGGTAGGGCTTCGTCCCCGAACAGCCTTGAATGCTGGCAAATACAGAGGCTGGTGGGATCTGGACGAGAGTGTGCGGAATACTCTCACTCCCTTCCTGAACTCCCGTTACTGTGTGAACGTGGCGATGATGGAAACTCGATGCTCTTATCCCCTATTCAGCTCCAAAGAGATGAGCCATAAGGATTGGCTTCAAAGTATTGTTCTGGATCTGCTGACCAGGGCCCCTGGTGATAACATTCAGCTGATCTTCACAATTTGCCTTCGCATAATACGTTTTCAAGATATCTCAATCCCAATATTTCTCTTGCCGTATGCAGCACTTAATCTGTTTGTGGCCGGATCCGAGAAACAAAAGGAGGAGAAGCAAAACCTTCTCAACGAGATGATTGCAATTCTAAGGCAACCTCTCTCGGGCAGCCAGCAACACAGAGAGAACATAAAGCTATGCAGCCAACGCGTTTTCGATATCCTTGATTACATGTCAAAGTGGCTGCAACAGAGAAGAAAGCAATTTCAGGCCGCTGTGGCTCATAACGAACGTGGAACCGCGGATCCTGCCACAGAAATTGTCCAAGCTCAAACTCGCAACATTGAAAATATTCTGCAAGAGATACCTCCTGACCTGATTTCCAGCCGCGCTATTGAATGTAGGTCATACTCCAGAGCTCTGTTTCATTGGGAACAATACATAAGAAAGATGACTGAACAGGAGGGAGAGTCGGACGACCTCTTAGCACGCCTTCAGGAGATTTACACTCAGATTGACGAGCCAGATGGCATTGAAGGTATATCAGCGCAAATGCATACCCTCAACATCGACCAGCAGATCTTAGAGCAACAAAAGGCAGGGAATTGGACAGCAGCTCAAAATTGGTATGAGATACAGCTGCAGGAGCGGCCTGACGATGGCACGGTGCAGGTGAACCTGTTAACTTGCTTGAAGGAGACTGGTCAAAGTGGTGAGTGGCCTTGGTATTGCTTTGAAATCCATCTAATTGCTCCAAGATGCGCTTCTGAATCAATTTGACACCTTCAACAAGACCCATTCATTTGCTCATGTTGTTCCATTCGCCGTCGAGGCTGCTTGGACGAATAACAACTGGGCAAAGCTCAATCAAATCGTTGACGAAGCAGCAAATAGGAGTAATGATTTCAATGTTGGTATTGGGCGAATTCTGCAGGCGCTGCACCAGAAAGATCACCACCAGGCTGTAAATATTGTTGCAGAGCTTCGTCTTGCCAATGCTTCGAGTCTGACTTCGACATCTGCATCATCTTTGCAATCTTGTCATGACATTCTGCTTCGTCTTCATGTCCTTGATGACTTGGAATCAATCGTATCTGCCTCGGAAGACAATGGCCCGATCGTGCTCACCAATCTTGACCGGCGGATCGAAGCCATTGGCGCGGACGTATCCACCAAGCAATATTTACTCAGTCTGCGACGCGCAGCGATAGCTCTGTCGCCCTACTTTAATGATCTCGATGTTGCATCTGGCTGGCTGGCTACCGCAAAACTTGCCCGAAAGAGCTCCTTGTCAAATCAGTCTTTCAATGCCATACTCCGCGCAACTGCACTCGGAGATGAGTCGGCCACGATTGAGCATGCAAAGTTGATGTGGAGAGACGGCTTCCATCGGAAGGCGATCCATAGCCTGGAAGGTGCTATAGATTCAAGCGTATTTCTTTCGCACAATTTTGATGCTGAGGACATGTCGCTGACCTCGGATCAAATTCATAAGCAAAATGTTGTGATAGCCAAAGCTCATTTGATGCTTGCGAAGTGGCTAGACTCCGCTGGTCAGACTCAATCCGAGGTCATCAAGAGGCAATACCGGAAGGCTACAGAGTTCCACAAGAGGTGGGACAAAGGTTGGTACTACTTGGGAAAGCACTACAATAAAATCCTGGATTCCGAGAAAGCAAAGCCCGTGGGCAAAGAAGCCCAGAGCTATCTGACTGGAGAAGCATCCAAGCTGGTAATCGAAAACTATTTACGTGCTCTTGGGTTCGGAAGCAAGTATGTATTCCAGGCGCTGCCCAAAGTACTCACATTGTGGCTGGAACTTGTTGCAATTGCGGAGCAGCCGCAGGATGCACGGCGCGGCAATGAGAAATTCACGGCTCATATGACGGCTCAAAGGAAGAAGGTAGTTGAAGATACGAATGCTCAGGTCAAGAAATACGTCGAGCGGCTACAGCCTGTAATGCTGTACACCATACTTTCGCAAGTTGTCGCTCGTATTGGCCATTCTAATAAGACGGTTACGGAAATCCTTATTGGCATCGTGGTTAAGGTCCTGAAAGCATTTCCGCAGCAAGCTATCTGGACAGTATTAGCATTGGCAAAATCGTCTTCAAAGGAGCGCGCCAGTCGCGGCATCAGCATACTTGTCAAGGTCATCGAGGTTCAGAAAAGATCTGGCAGAGATGCATCCACAGCAGAATTGAGGAAAGTGATCGAGCAAGGACAAAGGCTTTCTGATGAACTCCTGCGTATCGCTGACCATGAATTAAAAGATGCGAAAGGGACTCATGTGAGCCTCTCTAAAGAGCTAAAGTTCAACCACAAGCTCGCCCCATGCAGGCTGGTGGTGCCCATTGAAGCATGTCTCATCCCGAGCATGCCGAACAGTCAAGATGCGTGGCCGCCGAAGAACTTTCGTGCCTTTTCCAGAGAGCCTGTTACCATTGCTGCAGTCCTTGATGACGCCTTAGTCCTCTCATCGTTGCAAAAGCCGCGAAAGTTGAGCATTCGCGGATCAGATGGAAAGCTTTACGCAGTCCTAGCGAAACCGAAGGACGACTTGCGTAAAGACCAGCGTCTCATGGAGTTCAACACAATGATCAATCGCTTTCTGAAACGTGATGTCGAGGCCTCTAAACGCCGTCTCTATATTCGTACATATGCGGTAGTACCCTTGAACGAGGAATGTGGTCTGATCGAGTGGGTCAACAATCTCAAGACCTTTCGCGACATCCTCATCCGATTGTACAAAGAGCGAGGGATCAACCCGAACTATGCGCAGATCCGTGCCCTCCTGGATGAAGCCAGCAATTGCGCACCAGACAAGACAGCCGAGCTCTTCGAATCCAGAATCCTCACCATGTTCCCCACTCTCTTCCATGACTGGTTTGTGGAGACTTTTCCCGACCCAAGCGCTTGGTTCGCCGCTCGAATTCGATACACCCGTTCTTGCGCGGTCATGTCTATGGTTGGTCATGTTCTAGGACTGGGAGACCGGCACGGCGAGAACATCCTCTTTGAGGAAGACAACGGTGGCACCCTTCACGTCGACTTCAACTGTCTCTTTGACAAAGGCCTAACCTTTGAGAAACCAGAGATGGTTCCATTCCGCCTCACAAATAACATGGTCGACGCCTTTGGCGCCTATGGCTACGACGGCCCATTCCGCCGTTGTTGTGAGATCACGCTGACACTTCTCCGTGGCAATGAGGATGCACTGATGACGATTCTGGAGACGTTCCTGTATGATCCAACGACCGATTTTATTGGGGGAAAGAAAAAGAGGACGCATCCGAATGTGCCGAATACGCCGCAAGAGGTGCTGGAAGGGGTAAGGAGTAAGACGAGGGGGATGTTAGATGGTGAGAGTGTGCCTTTGAGTGTGGGCGGATATGTAGAGGAGATGATCAAACGAGCTACGGATCGAAATCTGCTGGCTAGGATGTATATTGGGTGGTGTGCGTTCTTTTGATGTATAGGGGGATGTCATCACAAGCGAAGGCGTGATAAGATGGCTATACATGGTGTTGTGGTGGTTCACGGCGGTAGCTGATGTGATCTACTCCATGTTCCCGACTTAACCTTCATCGTCTTTGCTTAGCAGGCTACCCTGCTTGCGACTGCTCCTTTGGACCCGCTCCTAGTCATTTTCGGGCAGCTTGTTCCGCCCACAATACGTCAAGCTAGTACTCTTCGATTGGACGGGTGCCGCGTCCGTGCAACGTTTTCTCTGCCTGTGGCTGTTGTGTAATTTCGTTCTCCGCCAGCAACGCATCGAGCTCATCGTCGCCTGGGGGTGAACCGTTCTGCTGCTGCATTTCTGTCGGTCCTTGTCCAGGCATATTCCACACAGGCTGTTCGGCCATTAAAGCATCAAGATCATCATCTTCGTCCGCGGTTGATGCGTGCTGCTGCTGCTGCTGCTGCTGATGTGGTTGTGAGTCTCTGGTCTGCGATTGTTCGGCAAGTAATGCGTCGAGCTCGTCCTCGTCTGGTTCATTCACTTCGTCGTCCTGGGTGGTAGTCCTGATCTTGGGATCATTGAAGAATAGATCATCCTCACCGCCTTCTTCTAGATCACCAAATATCGAGTCTTGCGTATTGTGCTTCGATGTTGTCTGGAGCTTCTTGTCAGAGGATTGGTAATGTTCTGCACCAGCCGTCCTCTCCATCGCATTCTGCTTTCCATCCGTCCCTGAAGTCTGTCTATCCTCCACACCCGTCCCATGACCCGGCTTCCCCTCATCAATCCACTCTTTCCTCATAGCCTGCATCATCTTCCCATGCCCCACCTTCTCCACAAGCTGCAACCCATCTGCAAACTTCGCCTTTGGATACAGATTATCCAACCATAACTGGTAATAACCCAACAGCTTGGCAGCATCGGAGTATTCATGTCCTTTCCCCTTCAGCCGTAGCTTCGAGGCGATTGAACCCGAGCGGGCGAGCGCGCGTAGCTTCGGTATACCCGGTTGGGATAAGAGTCGGGCTTCGTCGAGTTTGGCGACGGGTTTGCGCTTCTTGACGATTTTGACTTCTTCGTCTAGGCCGAGTAAGTCGGTATTCTCTTTATTGTCTGTGCCGGTGGCTTTGCGTTTGGTGCCATTGGATTTATTGGTCGGGTCGTACAGGGTGGTGTCGATTTCGCGGAAGGGGTCATCGTCGTTGTCGGAGACGTCGTAGTTTAGGAGGGAAGTGACTGTGTTGCGGGTTGTGGTGTCTGCTGCCATCCTTGAAGTTCGGATGGAAGAAGACGGCCGAGTGTGAAGGGTTATGGTGATCTAGAAAAGGAGAACTTTATTCTTCGGTTGAGGACTTGGAAGATGCGCCATACATGATACGAGTAGAAGACGCGTGGGGAAGACGCGTCTAAATCGCCGCAGCATTTGGGGGCGCCAAGCTGTCCACGGTGGATTTCTACGTGGGACAAAGCCGGTGCACCAAACTAACTTTACGTCGAATCACGCCGAATTCTACTACCTGTGCTCAGCTCTTTGTATTATGATAGATCATTGTTGAAATGCAGGCCCCAGTCATGGGTGTCTCTGACGTTGAAACACTGGACGGCATCGAGACTATTCCGGAAACGTTTCGAGAGGATGCTGAAACCCACAAAGGATTCATGGAAAAGGCGTTAGAGATGGCGGAAGAGGCTCTGAGCATTGGTGAAACTCCAGTCGGTTGTGTCGTTGTGGCCAATGGCGCCATCATCGCATCAGGTATGAACGACACAAACAGGTCTTTAAATGGCACTCGACACGCGGAGCTCGTTGCTATATCAGAAGCACTCAAACTTCATCCCGCCAGTGTCTTTGCATCCGCCGATCTATATGTCACCGTCGAGCCGTGCATCATGTGTGCTTCGATTCTAAGACAATATCACATCAAGAATGTGTTTTATGGCTGTGGAAATGAACGGTTTGGTGGAAATGGGAGTGTGCTTTCGATTCATTCAGATTTCGGTATCGATCCACCTTATGCAAGTCATGGAGGGCTGTATCGAAAGGAAGCGGTCATGTTGTTGAGGAGGTTCTACATTCAGCATAATGAGAAGGCGCCGAATCCGCGCCCAAAGAAGGGACGTGAGCTGAATACCTCCTTTGAGCCGACATGAAGACACTATATTGTCTGAAGGGTGCCACGTGTAGCTCGGAAAGTGGTTGGTAGCCCAGCCTCAGCAGGCCTTGCATCCTACAGATGGCCGGTTCGTATACACTCGCTCTCGAAGCAGCCAATGAGGCTACTAGTATGGATTGATTGTGGCTGCCTATTGGTAAGTTTAGCGGGGGCTTCAAGTGGACCAATCGCAGGGTGTAGACCATTGCAAGGCGCGGATCCTGAGCATTTGCCTTCGGCTTTGGTAAGGCTACGATCAGGCTACTTGGAGAACGCTAAGAGCTACTCTCGTCATCATCCTTCTTGCTTATACAAAACTCTTTTGGTGCTCCAGGCTTCTGCCGCGAACAGCTTTGCTAGATGTAGGATCAGGTCTGAATTTGAGACGGGCAAGTGCCTAGTCGTAGCTGCCTGCTTGTTATCTCGTTTGTTTACACGATCCAGGCTGATGAACTAGCACTTCACTTCCATCTGCCTTTCAGGGTCTAAGACAATTACCTCTTCCCGCCCACTTCCAGCAATTTCTCGACATACTTGCAATCTTCACTCTGCCGCAGCTGTGACAGAAAACCAGCCTATATCAGCCAGAGCATGGCCCGCTAGAAGCCTTCCTCTTTGAAAACTCGCTCTCCAGTTGTGCTTTCTCGCCCATAATCATGCCCAAAAGGAAGTCCGCCAAAGCCGTGATCAGGACCTCGAAACCTTCCACAGTCATTGGCAAGCGCAAACGAACCGAAGTGGAGACCAAAGAATGTGCCATATGTGTTGAAAGCCAACCGGTCTACCGCAACTTTCCCACATTCACCACTTGCTCTCATGATTCTGACACATGTCTATCTTGCATCGCGAAGCAAACAGTCATTCTTTTGCAAGCGTCGCGTGGAAAAGGTTGGTCAGCCTCTAGATGTCCGCAGTGCAATATCTCTATTCCCACGGAAGAGCTGCAGTCTGCACTCCCTCGAGCACTTGTCAAGGAGATGAAGGAGATGGTCAGCAAGGCAGCCCAAGCGACAGATGATAGCTGGCGCTGGTGTCTACGTCCGGGTTGTGGGCATGGAAAAATCCATGATGGACGGAGTGAGATGATCCAGTGTGGCAAATGTTCCTACAAAATGTGCTTCAAGCATCAAGTACCTTGGCACCAGGGCTATAGCTGCCAGGATTACGAAACATCCCATCCACAAGCAGCAATCACCAAGACGAACGAGGAGATGATTCAGAAGATGAGCAAGCCATGTCCTGGCTGCGGCATAGCGGTGGAAAAAATTGGTGGATGCAATCATATGAGCTGTGAGCGGAATCCCATCAGCAAGAGTTGATTTGCTTCATCTGATGCTCACAATCTGCAGGCAGGGAATGTGGTTCGTCGTGGTTGTGGGAGAGCCCTTCCTCCGCTGGTGGTACCGTTTTACTGGCAGGTCCAAGGGAATTTGCTCCGCCTCTTCCACAGCAGCCTATTGATCTTCCAAATATACCTGCTCGGTGGCACGCAATTGGTCAACTGGGACCCTTCAACCCTCAGATGTTTCAGCCGCCTCCCAACCTAAATCGGCCTACTAATGCGGTCATCAGGCACAGTGAGTTCCCGCAACATGCCCGAGAAGAGCAGGAGGGTCCTCGTCCGCAGAGATCGACCGAGCAGTCGATAACACCTGCATCTCAGCCACAGGTGCCGGTAACTTGGGCAAGGATCGATAATACACCTTTCTTTAGACGCACTCCCCCCCAAATCCGAGCGCTCTGGTCTACTGAAGATGTGGAATTTCGATTCCGACCACCGATAGCGGGGAGCGTTCAGACACCAATTGATCTAACGGGAGATGATGATATGGTGCATATGGCAAGTGGCCAAAGATCTAGGCGTTAAGATCAGGGATCTGCTGAGGGCTTCTCGAAAAATCTATGCAGTCGATAGAAAGGCTCTTTCTTTGCGCCTGAGCCATAAGGTTGTGGGGCGTGGCATGCCAGATCAGAAGTATTTCACTTTCACGGTTGGGCCAAATTTGACACCCACTATGGTACCTTGATTGCCCATGCTCCTTTACTGACAATCCGCTGAACATCGTTCCTCGAGAGGTGTGCAGCATATCGAGTTGCATTACCATGCCGTCTCTAATAAGAGGACTTTGCCCAAGTAGAGCAGAAATTTCCACCGGAGCATTGCTACGTTTGATGTTCTACCAGTATGTCTATTAGTAGCTTAGCATTTAGTCTAACCACACTAGGTCAAGTATGATGCCTGCTTTAGTGAACTACTAGTAAGCTGGCTCCCTGTAGAGCATAAAACTCACGCAGCGGAAAGGCTTGATTTAGCCACAAGCGGCCCCATAACGCAAGCTAGCAAATCAAAGCCAAAACATCTTGGTCGTTATGCGTCGGTACCGAAGTTGACCTCCTCGAGGTTGCGTTGGGGCTGTTACAGCCCCGGCAGCATGATCCTTCCTCGAACATTTCCGTCCACTATCGCCATGGGCCCCAACTCCTTGAAGCGGTTGAGTGTACGATTCGGACGGAGCAAGCCATCGCAAAGGTCTACAGAGCCACCGCCAGGAAGTGTCCTACCTGATCACATCTCCCTTCAGCTGGATCCTTTGCCACAAATCAGATCTATCAGCCCAACCGGACGACCACGGCGAGACCCCCCTCCAAGAGATTTAAGCACTTTGCCTGCGCTACCAGCCGAGATCTTGCTTGCTATTGCAGACCACCTTGACGATGCAAGCACCATCTGTTTATCTGCAACCTCATATCGCTTGTCTGAGGTTCTATGTGCGCTCACTCGTGACCTAAGAGAGCGAGAACGTTCACGCTGTGCCAAATGGCTCATCATGGCCCAGCTAGAACGAGGCCTAGTGATTGACCCGAGAGGTCAAAATGCAGACGTCAAACTGACTTGTGTGCTCTGCAAAGTCAAGCTTGCCATCTCATCATTCGAACGCTATCACCCTCCCACCACGAACCCGAGTTTCATGGAGAATGGCTTCGAGAGTCTGCATATGCTCTCACGTATGCCGTGCGCTCGATTTTGTGAACATCACGCTATGCGCACAGTGCTCGGTCGAGAATCATCAGATCCGAGGAGGAACGCCGATCAAACCATCCGTTGGGAATGCTGCCGCCGCCGCATGTGCCTGCATTGCGGCACCGTCCCCAGTGATGGTAGCCCACCCTCGTGCGCATGCACCTGTCCCGTCTGCCCAAAAGATGCACAGGTGCCCACCTTTGTCCGATATGGACTTGCACGGGCAGGGGAGAAAGCTGCGGATGACCTTCGCGTGTTCTTCTTACGATTCGAGAGAGGTGCCGCTGGCGGTGGCCCGCTACTGGCGGTCGAACGAGTTCACAGGAGAGACGAGAGGAAGTGGATTGAAGCTCCGATCACTAAGCTTCCTGTTGAGTTTCGATAAAGACGGTCCACCTGCCATAGTACATCTCGGTCAATGCCCCTCATGCCAACAGATCTGTGCTCTTTCGCCCACCACCCAGTTACTCATATGGCCCCATTAAAGACCAGTCGCTCTTGAAGGCAAGCCTCAACACTATTGTATGTCTTCAGTGGGCTGTCCAACTGGCCATGAATTGAGACGTAATCCACGATCACGCACAACTTCCAGGAAAACAGGACCCCGTTATCTGTTAACCTGAGGACAAATCAGGTGCAAGCATGAATTTAAGATGCTCCGTTATCGCCACTTGAACGCAGCTAGACATCAAACTCTTTTGGATAGGCTATTGACTTGTTACCATGGGCGAATTGAAGTTGAAAGCGTACACTCAATGTCATACGCTTCAACTCTAAGCTGAAAAACAAATCCTCAGTGCGAACAGCCCCTCGCTTCGATCCTAAGACTCACCTGCTTTGGGTCATACCATTCTGTCCTCTTGAGCCCGTCGTCTGAATTTGACCTAGTGCAATACAGTGAGGACCGACATCAGATTCACCAGAGTCTCTGCCAAAAGATTACGGTGATACGCTTTCGCAACTTTTGGCCCCAGTAAGTGAGGCACTCGGTTGCGGCACAGGTCCAACGCCAAGAAGCAGGAATCCTTTTCCCTCTAACGCCTTCTTTGAAGACATCCTGTGCTCTAGTGGTAAGGATCTTTGGCCTGAGACGATTGTTGGTCCAAAGATGGTGTCGCCACATCCTCCCACCGTTGTGGTTCTATTTCGAGGAAATATTCAAAACATAGAAGAAGCTATGGCTTTGCTGTTTTCCAGTCAGCTGTCGATTCAGTTTTCTATCCCTTATCCTCTACTACCTCATACATCCACAACCTTCGCCTTCGCCGCAGGCCTCATACACGGCTTTGAGGGCTACCGAGACGAAGAGCATATTTGGCGCACACAATGGCTACAACAGCGGTTATCGCTCCTTCGCTTTTAGCATCGATGCTGCAAGTCGCAGACTTTAAGTACTTTCCACCCTTCAGAGAACAAGATGGAGGCAGAGCAGAAGGGGTTGAACCATTGCTCGACGAGAATGTGTCTTGCCGTAAGTAGAATATGTCGTGCTTTTCACGCCTGTGCCCGGAAGCCTCCTCTGCTCAGCCAGACTCGCTTGGCGTAAGATGAATACTTTGCTCAAAGTCGATTTCGCAGATTTTCCACAGGAACCTTGTCAAATATCATTGGAGCCGTGCGGCTTCAGCAAATGGTGTGAAACATTCCGCATTGATGTCGTCCTGGTGAGCGGCACGACAGAATCCTTTTTCTTGAAGGTTAGATAGTCCGGGTTCCCGCTTCGTAGAAGCACATACTGAGCTTGTGTAGGTCCAGAATGGAAATGCCTATGGTAGAATGATGCAGGGCACCTTTGCATCCGAGTCAGTCTTCCATCAATACATTCCTTCCCACGTTCCCAGACCCATCGCATGGGGTAATTATGCATCGAAACCTGAGCGATGGTTCTACCTCAGCGCCTTCCATGGCTTCGAGGACAAGACACCTGGTGTCCACTCTGTTGTCTCCATCGTAACCCAGTTCCACGACGCCTCTCGAGGCAAATCTCCGACAGGCAAGTTCGGCTTCCACGTACCCACCCACCTGGGCAATGTCCCAAGCAACAACGGGTGGGAGGCTTCTTGGGAGACGTGGTTCGCCAAAGCAATGGTAAGGATCATGGAAATTGAAGAGGCCACACATGGTAGAAGCAAGGAAATTGACAGCATGAAAGACGCTCTTTTCAAGAAGGTGATACCGCGGCTTCTCCGACCACTTGAAACCCACGGCCGTAGCGTCACGCCCACGCTCATTCATTCAGACATCCATACCGATAACATCAGGTACGATGCTTCAACCGGACAGACTATGCTGTTCGATTCCTGCGCATTCTGGGGTCATACCGAGGCCGAACTCGCCACCTGGAGATCCGAGCGATACCAGATGGGAAGAGCCTACATAGATGAATACGTGAAGAGGATGGGAGTGAGCGAGCCGATTGAGGACTTCGACGACAGGAACAAACTGTACTGGCTTCGCTATGAATTCTTGTCGTCGGTGTTGCATGCTTACAATCTGGTTGGACGACAGCGCGCAGTGAAGCAGATGAGAGAGCTCGTGCTGAAGTATCCGGAGGGGTATACCGAGGATGAAAGCAACGATAAGTAATGAATTAGACCCTATGGCGTCTGATTGGCCTCCAGGAGTCTTGTACCTGCTTAGTGTGGTCTACTAAGATGGAACCTGGCAAGGAAAGTGACTCGCAGGGAACGGATGAGTGGGATATTGTGCTATTTCAGCTCCAGGATGGGTGAGACTTCTGAGAGACCCAAAATTTCTGGTATCCACAGGCAGCTGAATGAGACGAAATAAAAACATTAGGACTCTTGTTCCAGGGGTCTGCCGATCAATCATGTCAATTGGAACAGCGCACGTACAGATGATGCTTCCAGCGGTCAAAGAATCCGTGGGAACTTTTATCTCTGCTTACGGCGCCAAAGTCCCTTCGAAAAATGGGGGCCAATTATGCATGTAATAGCTCACTGTTGGACTCAATCACTGCCTGCATGCACTTAATCTCTAGCGAGGAGCACTGACACCGTGGCGTCTTTCCACAATGATTTCTTCGTAGGTGTGATGTCGTAAAGGGTTTAATTTAGCATTGTGCTCTAAGACGACTTTATCAACAGGTGCAGGGGTGAATTGAATAGAGATTGCTGCCTAGGTTAGTGCCCAGGTGACATATTTGATCCTCTTCGATAATATTTGGTGTACCAATGAACTAACTACAGAAAAGACAAATCCACAAGAGAGAAAAAAAAAGGCCCATCTTCTCATATTTTCCATCGTCCGCCAAGGAAGGACAGGATGGAGATCGAATGGATCTAGGGAACTTCAGAATGACAACTTTAGGATTAATCTACTAGTTATATGACAACATGGCCGAGTGTTTAAGGCGCATAACTAGAAGAAATCATGTGGGTTCGCCCGTACAGGTTCAGATCCTGTTGTTGTCGATTAGATTATTATTTTTTATTTTTGCAACAATCTTTCATTTTAAAATAAAAGCCTTTACTTTTGAACGAATTGTCGAAACCTACGGCTAATACGGTCGTGGGTTGAGCATGCGAGTAGCAGGCGCAGGTGCACTATTAGTTAGATTGTCATGCGCCTACTATGCACCTGCTGTGCGCCTGTCAGACGCCAGATAGAGGCCATATAGCCGTCCGCAGGGCATAGGTAGGATCAATACACTTTCATCACCCAAGATAGCGTCTTTTCTGCGTCTTTTCTATGTCTTTTTCTTGCTTTTCTCTGTTAGGCTGTGGTCGTCTAACATAAATAATAGTTATTTACTAACTAATTATGAAATATTATTAATATTATTAAGGACTAATTTAGAGTTAAGTTACACTAAAGCACTTCTTTTAGTAATACTATTACTTTATAGAATTCTAATATTATTAATAATTAATAAGCTAGCCTCTTATACTAATAGAGTCCGCCTATAATTCTATTAATAATACTAGCAATATTACTACTCCTCTAGCCTCTTCTCAATACCTGTGCATATCTATATAAGGTCTCTATATCAATACCCAGCATCTGAATGTGCCAGTCTCGCACGACGAGGATAGTCAATCGACGGTCCCCGTGGAATGAACAGTAGTGCCACTAGTGAAGTGGACATTTTTGGAGTAGGAGGTCACTTCGAGGAGTTGCCCACTTAATGAGCTGATTCGCTTCAATTTAAGCAGGCGGAGGATCTTCATGCTACTATCTGCTACGTGATAAGCATCTTGTCTAAGCCTTTCTATCACTGTTTTACTGCGTTTAAGCGATTGCATAGTCTGGCCAGTTGCAGCATATGCTGGGGCTGGAGATGTTGGAGGTGGAGTTTGAGGCGGTGGAGGGGAAGAAGAGGCAGCTGGAGAGGGTGGTGGAGAGGGCGAAACATTGGAGGTTCCCGCTCAAGGGGGACAGGGTGTTGGCTTGGACGGGCGAGGTTGTCGCGTCGACGTGGGAAGGGTGCGTGAATTTGACGGAGGATTATGGCGACCGTGCGGTGCGGCTGAGGAGCGTGCAAGCGCAGGAGGGTACGGCAGATCTCAAAGCCATTGACTTGTACCTACGTGGTTATGACCATGAGGTGGCGGGTGGTAAGATAGGAACAGGCTGATCTGGATCGAGATTTGAAAGATATAGAAGGTTCGATGTCCAAGGCCACGCCGGGTGAATCGCCATCGGAGACAGTTGCCTAGAGATAGACATGGCACTTATGAAACGGTGGAGTGGCTTGCAAGGATGTGCCATTCTCATTCAGCTGTGCTTAGGATTAGTTAGCATAACGAGAACCGCCGATGTCAACGGCCTTGATGACTATCGGCTTTCTGATATAATGGAACTGGTACCAGAGCCTGAACTCCATTCCTCGATTTGCTGTAGACGTATTCTGGGAGATCAGAAAGAACTACTCGGATCAACACCGCCACGTAACCTTCGGCTCAGATTGGTCCCAAAGCGGCTTTGCATTCTGGCCTGAAGATTACAACACCATACCCTCTTGTTCGTCTGTAGTATGATATTTATAACCTTCTCTCCGTAAAAAGAAAAGCTATGCGACCAGGAAGCAGTGTGAAAAAAACCAAAAAAAAAGAACAAAAAGTTCACTTCATCTGCATCCTCGCTCCAAACACCTCAACGCGCCCGTAGGTGAGTGTATGCATCCACTGGAAGGGGAGCTCCGCATCCGCTATGAAAACCGACCGGTCCAGGTTTTGCACCCAGCGCGCATGCCGCTGGGCAATGTGTCCCGAAGACATTGGACACTGCGGAAAATTACCTTATAAATCTGGGTGTTTGTGTTTTGGTGGGAATCAAGGGCAAGATTTGTGTGGGGAGTGCGGTGTTTCCCGGCAGAATTGTCACTATACGGCCCTCCTCTTTATCATCTCTTTTGATTCGGTTGACTGACTCGGAAAAATGGTTCTTTGGCCGTCATGCAGCATCCTCAGCGGCCGAGAATTGCTTTGATCCAAGCAAGCCATGCTGTGGATGGTGGCGTAATGATTGTCAATAATGCAATTCTTGCAAAGAGGTTTGATCTTCGTTCACAACCGTACAATTCCAGCAGTTTCATCTGGCTTGACTCTGTATATTGCATCGGCCATTCGAACAACAGATGCCATCTCCGCGACATCGTGTACCCGCACGACATCCGCTCCACCTTGTATACTGGCTGCTACCGCCGCAGCGGTTCCCCAGATTCTCTGACTGGGCTCTTTCACGCCAGTAATCTTTCCGATGAAGCCTTTGCGACTGGCACCCACAAGCCATGGGATACCCTGGAGCCCCGGGTAGTTACGCAATTCGCCCAATCTTCGAAGGAGCTCCAGGTTCTGTGCCTGGGTCTTTGCAAATCCGATACCAGGATCCAAGATAATACGCCACCGAGCTATACCAGCTTTCTCGGCGGCCTTTACACGATCGAGCAATTCTTGGCCAACGCCGTGTAGGACGCCTTCAGGATAAGAGGTCAAGCTGCTCATTGTCGAAGGGTCGCCTCGCATGTGCATCATGATGATCGTCTTGCGAAGTTTCGCTGCCGTAGGCAACATTTCGTTGTCAAGCGTGCCAGCCGACACATCATTGATGATGTCTGCTCCAGCCTCGATTGCTGCCTTGGCTACCTCGGCGTAGAACGTATCAACACTGATGGCGACCTTGGAATCCCCTGCCGCCTCGCGGATTAATTTAATAACTGGAAGAATACGCGAAAGCTCTTCGTTGGGAGAGATCCTTTTCGCATTCGGTCGAGTGCTTTGCCCCCCAACATCGATTATCGATGTTCCTGATAGAAGAAAATTCTGAATCGTTGACTTAAGAACATTCTCCTCGTGCAGTTTGTGGACATCCCCATCAGAGAAGGAATCTGGTGTGATGTTCAAGATTGCCATGACCGACGTCCGGCGTTCCGGGTTGGTTGGCTTGAGAGCTGCCAAACTCGGAGCGAGCGGAGTGATAGACAGAGGTCTACCATCCGAGGACTTCCTGTCGAGTGCTGCTGCATGACTAGCAATGGTCTCGGAGTCATGAGGAGGCGGTAGACGTTCCTGGGGAATCAAACCTGCCAAGGGACGTAGGACAAAGTCCCGCTCGAGCATCAGCTTGTGGGGAACATTCAGTCGGTCGTCTGCAATGATCTGGTCGTCGTATAGCACAATATCCAGGTCGATATTCCTTGGACCTTTGGCGATGATACGTTTGCGGCCAAGCTCATGCTCAATGGTCTGAAGAGCGTCAAGCAATTCATGCGGATTGAGGGTTGTTTCTACCTTGTGGCACTTCAGCTCCCATCGAGATTTGCCAAACCGCAGCTTCTCACCTCACACACGGCATTATAGAATGTATCTTGATCTGTCACATACATTGGCGCAGTTTCATACAGGAGGCTTGTTCTTTGGACAATGATTCCCTGTGCTAACATCTTCTCACATGCTTGCTCCATCATATGGACACGATCGCCAATGTTGCTGCCAAGAGCAATCATCGCCCAATGCTTGGTGGCATCTTGGCCACAAATCTTCTTGCCCCCGTTCTGTCCGTCCATGTTGTTGTTCATGCTTGACGGAGTGAGACGTGGATTGAAATTGCTATCGAGCTCACTGCCGGCAATCTTGCCATCATGAACGGCCCTTCTCCGAAACGTGCTCTTCGGCTTCACTGCCTTTTGAAGACCTGTCCTGACAGGTCCGGGAACAAAGTATTTGGTGTTTGTGGCAAAATTATGACTCCTAGCAGAACATTGTTGACGATGGGATGGCGTCAAATATCGAATCGATGAGCCGAAATGTTTCGATACTATACCGATGGTGGTGCACATCAAAGCTCTTCGCTGCATTATCAAGCTGTACCCCAAAAGCCAGGTCCTGGTTCGCGGGGATGAGAAGTCCGTCGGTAATGGACCCAAATCGTCCTAATTTGGCTCTAGAAGTTATTGTACCTCAGCGCATTCCTTGCCATTGCCATTTGGTGGATACCCTGCAGAGAGGATTGGTCTCGAAGTCAAATGTATTTGCCGTCCCCAACTCATACTCCCAACTATTCATGGCGGAAATCGAAATGTTGAACTCAAAAATACTGCGCGTTGCAAAATTGTTGCGAATTCCTTGGCGCTACCCTTGAATTGCTGGCGCCGCAGAGCAGAATTTGTAGTCCATATCCTCCTCCTTCTCCTCCTGCTCCTCCTTCTCCCCCTTCTCCCCCTTCTCCCCCTTCTCCTCCTTCTCCTCCTTCTCCCTATGAATATCCTTCTCCTTATAGATATCCTCCTTTCAATAGATATTTCGTCTATTTCATTACAGTTGACTCTAAAAGCATAATTTACTTATTACAAAACTTGATACTAAGTGTTACGGCACAAAATGCCCTATGGCCTAGAGAGGCGTTAGGGCAGGGCATGGCGTTAGCCAAGCATTGGCTGTGCGCCAAATGCTCCACCAGTGCTATGCCGCATCCGGTCTTAGGGCTGAGGGCTAGGGCAGGCTTGGCGCCCTGCGCGTCATATCTCTATCCTCGCCTCCATAGCACTTAGAGAGTCAGCCTTCACCATACCAATCGACATAGTCATACAGTTGCCTTCTATAGCTTCTTCGTGACTCTCCGCTATCTCTATAGCACCCCCATACCCTGTTGCACGGCCTTCCGCGTAACACTAAGGGCCAGCTGTTAAGATAAAATAATAAATTTAATATCAGCAAGATCTATAAGCAATTTCTACACATGTTTCGTATGTAAGGAGCTATTCTTACATCTAACCGTAATTCTGCCCCATGGCACCAGCAATTCGAGGGTAGCGCCAAGGATTTGCAAGAGTTTCGCAACGCACAATAACATAACATAGTAAATCCTCTAGGCTATTAGGCCTGGATAACAGAAACATGGTCATAATGAAAGGATCTTAATGTAACACTGTTTTTCTTTACAGAGTCCTATGCTTTACATATTAATAAGCTACAGTCGAATTTCGAGTAATATAGTGTTGAACGGCAGGAGCGCTTATTAGTTGCATTTTCTACGCGAAATCCCTGCGGTTCGCCTGCTTTTGATTGGTCAATTTCTGCTGCAATTTCGCGGCTAATTTCGCTGTGTCGTACAGCAAATTTGTACTTATTTCTGCGCCCAGCGCAGCTTTTTTGAACGAACAGAGCCATTTCTTCCTCCTGCTCCATGTGATGGATGGAGTATCTCCTCTGCTATGGCGCAGGAAATACACGGGACCAGCCACGCACTCGGATGGCAGCGCCGATGGCGTATCCACAACGGCACGCGGAACTCTTGCCGTCAAGCTA